CAATCCTTTTGGGGAAAACAGACTTATTTTCATGGCTGGAAACACCAAATTCCTAAAATACCTGTCAGAGTGTCAGCTGTCAACTTGCCTCTGCCTCCCAAGTGTTGGGATTAAAGGTGTGTGCCACCATTCCTTCTGGTTCTCGACTCTGCTCCTGCTGGCATTCCTGCCCTGACTTCCCCAACAATGGAGTGTGATCAGAAAGTGTAAAGCAAATAAACCCTTCTTCCTCACATTGTTTCTGACCATGGCGTTATCACATCAACAGAAAGCAAACTAGCCTATCTCTCTCTCACTAAGGCACTGCCACTAATGCAAGCCACACACTCCAAGAAATGTGCTTTACCACCAAAGTGACCTGCAAGCCACTGCAGTAAGAGAAAACCCATCATTCTCTCATACACAGAGGGAGAAAGTAAAAAGAGCTGTCTTAATTTTAAACATTACTATTTTACGTTTCTCCCCTCAATAGTCTTTCTTTCTCTGACAGGTCAACTATACTTTAGTATGAGGTATGAAGTGACTTAGCCTACAATTATAACTTAGTTATTCTGACACTCAATTTCTATACAGATTTGAAAACTGTTACACCAAAAGATGAAGAATTAAAATAGGTTAGACTAGGCTGGAGAGGTGGCTCTATGGTTAGGGGCATGGACTCCTTACAGAGGTGGCTCATTACTGCCCGAAACACCAACCCCATGGATCTGGCCCCTCTTCAGTACTACAAAGGTACCTGTGCTTGTGTGTACAAATCCACACATATACAGCCCCCACCCTCACACACACACACACACACACACACACACACACACACTCAATTAAAAATAAAATATATTTAAAATAGGATAGGCAGGCAATGGTTGGTCAGTTTCATCAATGAGTTATGACCCAATTACGGAGAGCAAATTAGAGAATTTTAATATTTAAAGAATTTTAATAAGTGGTGAAAAAGAGCAGTTGAAGAAGTTCTACATGCAACCTGAGAAGACAGTGAGATCATTAGGAAAATGAAATACTAGGAAGAAGAAAGAAGGTGACTCAAAACTAGCAGGCTGTAATCTGGGCTTCAAAAAGAAGAGAGCTACTTAGCATGGCCCGGACAGAGAAGGGCAGTCTGGGAGCAGCTTCAGGCTGGTGCCATGATGTTGCTACTGCAGAGCCCTTAAGTTTTATCTGACTCACAGCAGGGAGAAAAAAGGTCATGAAAATAAAAAAGTAAAGTCAAGTAATACAAATAAATTGCCAATTTATATTAGACTAAGTTTGCTGCCACATACTGGAAACACCCTAAAAGACCAGGAAGCAACTAATAGGACCTCTTATTAATAAGGGAAAATAAATGAAATTGGGTTCTTTTCTAGAACTATAGCTAAAAGTTCTGCTCTCTAATCCTTTTTTAAATGTTTGACTACAAATACATGCAGAATTTTTTAAATCTCTGCTTATAAAAGTTATATAATTTATACATTTACACACATCTGAACCGTATTCCTGGATCAAGCCAGATTGGAACTCTATTGACTTATCTTACTCATAACCTTTGTCATAAAATATTTTGTATTGGCAGGCCCAGTGATGCGAACCTGTAACTCTAGCACTCAAAAGGGGAGGCAGAGGCAGGAGGATCGTCACAAATTCAAAACCAGCTAAGGTACATAGCTAAGATACTGTCTGAGAAAAACAAAAATCGTATGCTAGCAAGATGGCTCAGCAGGTAAAGGCGCTTGCCTCCAAGCCTGGCAGCCTGAACTGGATCTCTGAAACTCCCATGGCGGAAGGAAAGAGCTAATCCCCAACAGTTACACTCTTACGTGTGGTGTGCACCATGGCGTGCAGCAGTATGTATGGGCACACACACACACAAAGTAAATAGAAAAGCAATTTTCAGCCAAAATTCAACCACTCAATGAACCAATCTAAAAATATAAATTTCATATCATCCTATTTCCTTATACCACAAGGTATAAGGAAAGCTCACAAAAGCTCACTACTATGGTACTAGAGGAATGCTAGCCAAATGCTGCCCCTTTTATGGGTATTTGTTCTCAGGAACAGAAACACTGAACCCATGACCGAGTCTACTAACTGACTCTTCTGCCTTGCCTTTGACACAGGGGGCCTCAAACAATATTTGCAGGTCTTTTCTAATGCACAGGCCACATCTCCAGAAAGTTACACCCATTTTATAGTCTTCTAAAACTGCTCCTTTCATCTGATTCCTTCATTTACCCTCCTGAATTATTGTACTTGAAAACTGCCTCAAATCCTTTGTGTAGAATAAGCTAGGGTTAAAATAAGTGATATACAATATACAATTTGTAAATAGAATTGGGACATAGCAAAAATTTGGTGCATTTATATTGCTGTTAAGAAAATACAGCACAACAAAAATCAAAAGATTTGCCTTTTAATGCCAGGTAGTTACCAAATAATAACATATCCTTCAAGCCAATCTGCATTAACTTTGACATGTCTATACCACTACCTTACAACAAATGAAACTGAGAATGACAGAGGGCACTATAAAAGCCTGATACCTAAAATGCTTCAATGCTTCAAGTTCTTGTCTTCACCTAAGTAGAAGCAGGCCGAGACATCATTTTAGATTTAATTTAACCACTATCATCAATGTTATTTTCTAAATAAGCCTTCAAAAACCTAATTAAATATACTATCCCATTATTTTACAGTTGCTAAGTGATCCACATAATTTTGGACATTTTCTAAGGTTCTACCCTGGCCTCCTCTAAATTCAGTTGACATTTCTGCCCTCTAAATTTGAACCATATCTATGTGAATGGTTCCAAAATCCCTATCCTCCTCCTTAAGTGGCCCTGGGAAGGCAGTCAGGGAGCTCTTCTGAGTTCCAGGCTAGGCTGGTCTAACTAGTGAGTTCAAGACTAGCCAGGATTACACTGTGAGACCCCATCTGAAAAACAAAACAAAATCATATGGGACTTCATTATCTTTCATTCTCACATGCTAAGCCATCCTTCTCCAAGGATTGCTCATTTCTGAAGAGACTGTCATTCTGTTCAGTTCTAAAGCTTCAGTCATCTTTGATCCTTCTCTTCATCTCTAGTATCCACCTCAGCAAGCTTGACCATTTCCTCTTTTGAACTATCTTTCTCTTTGGCATTTTCTTTTTCATTTGTACATTTATTTTTCACTTCACACTCTAGTAAGTTGACCTGTCTCCCTTCACTCTCTTAAATGTTTTACTCTGTTCTACAGTCTTTGGTTTGGTTCTTTTTTTTTTTTTTTTAAGATTTATTTATTTTACGTATATGAATACTGCTTTCATGCACAGCAGAAGAGAGAATCAGATTTCATTACAGATTGTTTGAAAGCCACCATGTGGTTGCTGGGGATTGAACTCAGGACCTCTGGAAGAACAGCCAGTGCTCTTAAACTCCTGAGCCATCTCTCCAGCAGTTCTTTCTTTTTTGAGACAGAGTGGCACTATGTAGTTCTGGCTGGCCTGGAACTTACAGACTTGCCTGCCTCTGCTTCCTGGGTACTGGGAGTAAAGATATGCACCATTCCCTTTGTTTTCATCAAGTCATTAACCTACAACCTATTGTATCATAACTTCCCTCACTTTAAACTTTCTGGGCAATCCAGGATCTGGACCCACAGTTAGCACACTTGTCTCATAGCTACTGCAAATCTTCATCCACTAGCATCAAGTCAAACAAGTTAATAAGCCTGACATGCTATATCGCATACACTGCTGCTTCTGCCTCTCTTACCTGTACTTGGAATATGATGACTTGTCCTGACTTAGGCAAATTTTAATTCTTCAAAACATAATGTCTTAATAATAAAGCTCTTTGCTTACATAACCCACATGAACCTTATTATTATCTGATTTCCTTCTATGTTCATAATTAGCATCATGGACCCCCTAGCTAACAGTTCTAATTGTTTCATATGGATGCTGTACAAAGTGCACTCATTTGTTTCCACAGTAATTACAAATCATAAACTGATTTCCAAATCTAAATCCCACACTTTTCCTCTTTGCTAAGCTTCAGGCTCACACATCTAGATGACCACACCCCTTGAACATCCAATAGACATGTCAGATTTATCATGTCCAAACAGAACTCTTCACCAGTGAAATAATATTAACCTCTCTAGTCTTTCTCCTTTTAGCCCCATTATGCATGCAGATTCTAAGGCCAAAAATCTACATGTGATTCTTTTCTTTTTCCTTCACTTTCCTAAAGCCTATGAGGGCCATTTATGGGTATTAGGTCCAAAAAGTAGCTCAAATCCAACCATTCTTCGTTATCCCCCCATTCAAGTTGCAATCATTGTGTCTAATCATGCCTTCTAACCATTCTTCTGCTTCCACTCAGTCTCCCTTGTTCTTCAGAGATTTACTCACAGCCAAAACGAGATCATAAAATTCTCCAGCTTAAAACTCAACAGACTCAATATGGCCTAGAGGACCCTAAATAGCCTGCCCATTCTTATCTTTCTGACCTCAAGTTCTACTACTTGACCAATTCCCACAGTACTTCAGCATCACTGGCTTTACTGCCTCTTTTAACATGGATTCAAAGGACTTCTCCAATAGCTGTTGCTCCAGCCTTCCTCCTCAGCTTCAGGATCCTTCATATAACTGACTTCTTTGTTACTCTTAAAGTTTCTGCTCAAATATCATTCTTCCTGAAGGACTCAATCACCACAGATTAAAGTCACACTCTATCTTATCACCCAGTCTTACAGGATAGACAGATGGATAATTTCCCCTCCCCATGGGACAAGGCTTTACTTCTTAGCATTTTCCCTTACAATTTGCCTGCTACAATCTGAGCATGTAAAAACTCTAATATTTATTGAGCAATTTATAGGAAGCATTATCTGCAAAAAACCAATATAAAGTCTTCTAAAGCCAGATTCAAATCCAGATAATCTGAAAAAAAAAAAGGTTGATAAATTTCATTAAAATGAGAACCTCTATGTAAATGACTCTAATGAGGTCTTACTTAATGTTGTAATGTCCAGTTTTCAGTGTACATCTATCAGGAAGTTGAGCAAGTTTCCTTGAAAGCATTTTAAAGTACTTTCTGCACTCTTGCACTCCTGTGCTCTGCTCATAATCAGTAGATGCAGACAGCGGCAGTCCATCTCTGACACGAATGACAGAGGCAGATAAAATCATAGACATTTCAACCCACAGAAGACCTAAAATAAAATGACAAATTTGAATTAAATAAAAATCAAGGCCAAAGCTAAGCATTTATAACTTTCTAAAGTAGTAGTAATCAGAGTATTAATTAAAATAATGACACAATGTATTTCAAGCACCTCTCCCTTAATAAGCCTTCTACTAATGTGTTTTTATTTTATGTATATGGTATGTATGTGCACCGTGTGTATCTCCGGTGCCCCTGGAGAACAGAGAGAGAGCATAGACAGCTGTGAGCAGCTATGTGGGTACTGGGGTTCCCTGAAAGAGCAAGTGCTCTTAACCTCTGAGCCATCTCTCCAACTACCAAGCAAGCTTTTAAACGTGACATTTGTGCCAGCTGTGGTGGTGCACACCTGTAATCTCAGCACTCAGGAGGCAGAGGCAGGCAGATCTCTGTGAGTTCGAGGCCAGCCTGGTCTACAAAGCAAGTGAGTCCAAGACAGCCAAGGCTACAGAGAAACCCTGTCTCAAAAAAACAAAATAAAAATAAATTTAAAAAAAACTTAAATGACATCTGCAAGCTGAGATGGGTGAATGGGTAACACCTGCAGGGCAAGCCATCCGATGACCTAAGTTTGGCTTTATAGAACACATGAAAAAAATGGAGATATGGTTATTTGAGTAAATAGCTATAATCCCTGAGGGCTCCTCCAGGTAGATGGGAATTGTAGACAGAAGAATCCCCAGCTCTGAGACCAGCTAGCCTCAGCAGTGAACAAGATTCTGTTTCCAACAAGGTGGGAATGCAAGAACCAGTACCTTAGGATGTCCTTTGATCTCCTCACATATGTTGTGGGCTCACATATGACTCACCCCTACTGGCCAGTGTTCATAGTGCTAGAAGTTGCTATACAAGCTAGTGGAGAAAGGTAATCATCCATGTACCCAGCTATGAGCGCTGCAATCTCAAATAATGACCTGCCTACAAGTTATACCCAGAGGTCCAATAGTGACAGAATGTTATGGGAGTAACCATTCATTTTGTGAAATTTGAATTAAATTCAAATTTCCACTTTATGAGATGGAACCCATAACTATTACTGAGGGCAAGAACCTGAAACTGGACAGATCATGGGGCCTAGGGGAAAACCTACTACTATTATTCTGTTAAATCAATATTGAGGTTAAACAATCTCTATACTCATAGATCAGTGCATCAACAACCCTCATCAAAAATGCCATTTTTTAGAGTAGATAGTAATTAACAGAGAGCCACACTAGACAATGTGCACTCAGCCCTATATGGAATGTCTTTATCATACCTGTCCCCTCAAGGCTCAGAGATCTATGTAGAAGATGGGGGTAGAAAGGTGTGAGAGCCAGAAGTGGAGGTTGACTTCACGGAAAATACATTTTCCAGATACAACAGAGCAGAAGTACATATGGCGCTCACAGACAGTGTGACAGCATACACAAGGCCTGCACCAACTCAAGCCAGACAAAGATCTAACCAAGAAGCTATTAGCAATCAATAGTTGCTCGTAGAAGGAAAATTAATTTAGTTTTCTTCAATGGGAGTAACACTGAGTATAATTATCAACTACACTCCAGGCAAGCCCCCTGGAGCACACAAAAGGGACTCCCTGATTGGTTGTTGCTGGTTTGTTTGTTTGGTGTGTGTTTTTTGTTTGTTTTCTTTTGTTTTGAGGAGAGCACAGGATGGTGGTACATGCCATTAATCCCAGATCTAGGGAAGCAGAGGTAGGTAGATCTCTGAGTTTGAGAATGAGTTCCAGGACAGCCAGAGTGCCACGGAGAAACTCTGTCTCAGAGAAAGAGAGAGAGAGAGAGAGAGAGAGAGAGAGAGAGAGAACAGGGGGATAAGAACATGAAGTTGGGTGGCTAAGGAGGTGGAGGATCTGAGAAGGGAGGGAAGGGAAAGAATATGGTTAAAACATATTACATGGAAGTCTCAAAGAATAAATTAAAAAATAAAATAAATTTGAGAATTAAAAAATAAAAGCATTAATAGTAATTATTGTTGATTGATTTAGAGACATTGTCCTGCTATGTAGCCCTGGCTAGCCTGAAACTCACTATGTACCCCAGGCTGGCCTCAAACTCACTGTAGATCTCCTGATTCAGCCTTCTAGGTACTGAGTTTACAGGTATGTAGCACCATGCTCAGCATGAAATTTAAATATGTAATCTTACCCTGAAGAAAAAAAAATCATAAATCCAAATAAAAAATTAAATGAATACTCTTATGATAAAATAATTTAAAATGATCTGAAAATCCAGTATAGGATGACAATTAAGTAAATAGAGTATACCCATATGACAGAATACAATGTACCAAAAATAAAATGTTTAATAATATGGTAAAATCCTAATGTGTCCTTTGCTTTACAGAAGCTTTTCAGTTTCATGAGGTCCCATTTGTTGATTGTTGCTCTTAGAGCCTGTGCTGTTGCTGTTCTGTTCAGGAAGTTGTCTCCTGTACCAATGAGTTCTAGGGTTTTCCCCACTTTTTCTTCTAACTGATTTAATGTGTCTGGTTTTATGTTGAGGTCTTTGATCCACTTGGACTTTAGTTTTGTGCAGGGTAATAAGTATGGATCTATTTGCATTTTTCTACATGTAGACATCCAGTTAGACCAGCACCATTTGTTGAAGATGCTATCTTTTTTCCATTGTATGGTTTTGGCATCTTTGTCAAAGATCAGGTGTCCATAAGGTGTGTGGGTTTATTTCTGGGTCTTCTATTCGGTTCCACTGATCCACCATTCTATTTCTATGCCAGTACCATGCAGTTTTTATAACTGTTGCTCTATAGTACAGCTTAAGATCAGGGATGGAGATACCTCCAGAAGATCTTTTATTGTAGAGGATTGTTTTAGCAATTCTGGGTTTCTTGTTATTCCATATGAAGTTGAGAATTTTTCTTTCCAGGTCTGTAAAGAATTGTGTTGGTAATTTTATGGGAATGGCATTGAATCTGTAGATTGCTTTTGGTAAGATGGTCATTTTTACTATGTTAATCCTGCCAAGTCATGAACATGGGAGATCTTTCCATCTTCTGACATCTTCTTCTAATTCTTTCTTCAGAGACTTGAAATTTTTTTCATACAAGTCTTTGACTTGCTTGGTTAGGGTTACACCAAGGTACTTTATGTCATTTGTGGCTATTGTGAAGGGTGTTGTTTTCCTAATTTCTTTCTCAGCCCTTTTGTCTTTTGTATACAGGAGGGCTACTGATTTTTTTTTAGTTAATTTTGTATCTGGCCACTTTGTTGAAGGTGTTTATCAGCTGTAGGAGTTCCCTGGTAGAGTTTTTGGGGTCACTCACGTATACTATCATACCATCTGCAAATAGTGATAATTTGATTTCTTCCTTTCCAATTTGTATCCCCTTGATCTCCTTCAACTGTCTTATTGCCCTAGCAAGGGCTTCCAGAACTATGTTGAAGAGATATGGAGAGAGTGGGCAGCCTTATCTTGTCCCACTGAAATACCACTGAAATCAGTGGGATTGCTTTAAGTTTCTCTCCATTCAGTTTGATGTTGGTTATAGGCTTGCTGTATATCGCCTTTACTGTGTTTAGATATGTGCCTTGTATCCCTGATCTCTCCAATACTTTAAACATGAATGGATGTTGGATTTTGTCAAATGCTTTTTCAGCATCTAGGGAGATTATCATGTGGGTTTTTTTTCTTTCAGTTTGTTAATATGGTGGATCACATTGATGGCTTTCCATATAATGAACCACCCCTGCATGCCTGGATGAAGCCTACTTGGTCATAGTGGATGATATCTTTGATGTGTTCTTGTATTCGGTTTGCAAATATTTTGTTGAGTATTTTTGCATCAATGTTCATAAGGGAGATTGGCCTGAAATTCTCTTTCTTTGTTGGGTCTTTGTGAGGTTTAGGTACCAAGGTGACTGTGGCTTCATAGAATGAGTTTGGTAATGTTCCTTCTGTTTCTATTTTGTGGAATAGTTTGAAGAGAACTGGAGTTAGCTCTTCTTTGAAGGTCTGGTAGAATTCTGCGCTGAAACCATCTGGTCCTGAGCTTTTTTTGTTTTTTTGGATGGGAGACTTTCGATGACCACTTCTATTTCCTTGGGGGATATAGGACTATTTAATTGATTTACCTGGTCCTGATTCAGCTTTGGTAAGGCGAATCGATCAAGAAAATTGTCTATTTCATTTAGATTTTCAAATTTTGTGGCATATAGACTTTTGAAGAAAGTCCTAATGATTGTTTGGATTTCCTCATTGTCTGTAGTTATGTCCCCCTTTTCATTTCTGATTTTGTTGATTTAGATGGTGTCTCTCTGCCTTTTAGTTAGCTTGGCTAAGGGTTTGTCTATCTCGTTGATTTTCTCAAAGAACCAGCTCTTAGTTTCATTGATTCTTTGAATTGTTTTTTTTTTTTTTTGTTTCTAATTGATTGATTTCAGCCCTGAGTTTGATTATTTCCAGCCGTCTACTCCTTTTTGGTGTGTCTGCTTCTTCTTTTTCTAGGGGTTTCAGGTGAGCCATTAAGTTGCTTGAATGAACTGTCTCGAATTTCTTCTTGAAGGCACTTAGTACTATGAACTTTCCTCTTAGCACTGCTTTCATTGTGTCCCACATGTTTGAGTATATTGTGTCTTCATTTTCATTGAGTTCTAGGAAGACTTTAATTTCTTTCTTTATTTCTTCCCTGACCCAGCTGTCATTTAGTAGCAAGTTGTTCAGTTTCCATGTGTGTGTAGGTTTTTTGCTATTTCTGTTGTTGTTGAGGTCCAGCTTTATTCCATGGTGATCAGATAGGGTACAAGGGATTATTTCAATCTTCTTGTAGCTGTTGAGGCTCTCTTTGTGACCCACTAACAGCCACTGGTCATTAATCTCTCTCAACATCAATGGACTCAATTCTCAAATAAAAAGACATAGAATAACAGAATGGATGTGTAAACAAGACACAGCAATCTGTTGCATACAAGAAACACACCTAAATCAAAAAGAGAGACATTACCTGAGGATAAAGGGTTGGAAGACAGCTTTCAAAGCAAATGGACCCAAGAAGCAAGCAGGAGTAGCCATTCTAATATCTGATAAAAGAGACTTTCAACCAAAATTAATCAAAAGAGATGGAGAAGGACATTTGATACTTATCAAGGGAAAATTCCACCAGGAAGACATCACAATCCTGAACATCTATGCCCCAAATATAAGGGCACCCACATTGTAAAACTTAAACCACACATAGACTCCCACACATTAATAGTGGGAGACTTCAACACCCCACTCTCAACAAAGGACAGGTCAACAAAACAGAAATTAAACAAAGAAACAATGTCACTAACAGAGGTCATGAATCAAATGGACCTAACAGACATTTATAGAATCTTACACCCAAACACAAAAGAATTTACCTTCTTCTCAGCACCTCATGAAACCTTCTCCAAAACAGACCATATAGTTGGTCACAAAGCAAGCCTCAACAGCTACAAGAAGATTGAAATAATCCCTTGTATCCTATCTGATCACCATGGAATAAAGCTGGACCTCAACAACAACAGAAATAGCAAAAAGCCTACACACATATGGAAACTGAACAACTTGCTACTAAATGACAGCTGGGTCAGGGAAGAAATAAAGAAAGAAATTAAAGTCTTCCTAGAACTCAATGAAAATGAAGACACAACATACTCAAACATGTGGGACACAATGAAAGCAGTGCTAAGAGGAAAGTTCATAGCACTAAGTGCCTAATGTGATAAGCTAAAAACATTTTTAAAAATCAAGATAAAAACTGCATATTTTACCAGATAAAGTGACACATAATCTTAACACTTAGGAGGGCAGAAGAGGGAGGATCATGAGTTGGAAGCTAGCCTGGGCTACATCATAAGGCCCTGTCTCAAAAGGAATTTTTAGACAAACATATATTCACAGATTCCTAATATATACTTCAAGCTAGTAAACAGAAGCAGAACACAGCTGCCAAGGCCCTGAAAGGTTGTCAGCGGGGTGTTTCTATTTAATCAGTGGATAATTTTTTTTTTCTATGTGGAAAAAGTTACCCCTGCCCTGAGTAATTTGATATAACATCCAAACCAATTAAAGAGGCAG